GGAAATCAAACATTTGCTTACACATAGACTTTACACAATCCAACTTTTTTTTAAGAAGCTACAAAGAAGAAGATTCAAAACATGAAAATCCTCAAATCTTGATCTTCATTAGCATCCTTCAATGTCTCTCCACTTAAGATAAACAAGTCCAGCTCTATAATGTGTAAAGGCACCAGCAACAACCAGAACATGAAACAACTGATGGCTATGTCCAGCTATATCGAATTTCCCCGGCATCCATCTCTCTGGAATCCTAGTCGCGTAAACCAAAGCTCCTAACCCGTAAAGCAAACCCATCAAGATCTCATAACCTGTCGTGTGAAGCGCTTCAGGTTGGTCCCAAAAGATGATAACCTTGTGTAGAATCGGAGCTGCCCCGGAGAATCCCATTCCGAAAAACAGAGAGGCTCTCACGACCCGAAACTCCGGGCTTTGGAAAACAGGGAGGAGTGAGACAAGCACGGTGGCGATTCCTAGGATTGTTATGAATCCTAAGTAGAGGTTACAGAAGAAAGGATCACACATGAAAGAGTAATAGACCGGAGGGTAGAAGGAAGTAGCGATGAGAGCTGCGATTCCTGCGTAATCTAGCCTAAGCATTATGTAAGAGACTCGCTCGGAATGACACGAGAGGAGGTGGCACGTGCTGCTTGCTAATAGACAGAACATTGCGCCACCTAGAAATGCGTAGAACGGCCATCGGGTAATTGGCCTGAAGATTAAAGGAGCTATCATGTTTGCAAGATCTTCCCTCATCGAATGCTGCAAGGCGATAACAAACCGCAAAAAGATATGAACTTGGCGATCAGCATTTTGAAACCGAAATGTGCGGAAATAAGGAGAAAGATCGGGTTTTTTCCTTACCAGAACACACATATCGGTGTAGTTGCCATGAGAGAATCTTTCAGGTAAACAGTTATAAAGAAGCTCCATAACATGCCAACTAGATGGACTAGAAGGAAGACGAGACATGAGCTTGTGAACATCTGTTTTTCTCAAAATATCGGGTAAACGGTGTTGAAGAGCATGAAGATCCACAACGCTCGGTACCATTGTCGCTGTGTATATGGTAAGTGCAAGAAACAGGAAAAAACCAATCAAGTGCCTGCAAAATCCCAATCACACACACACTATCAACCTTTTTTGAATCTTAACAAGGTAAGAAAGAAAATCAAGAATCTTGATTCGATTCGAAACTTACGTCCAAACATTCAAAGTCTCGTTATGAATTGTAAAGATACTAAGAAGGATTTGTTTGATCGGCCATTCGGATCGGTAATGACCAATGATGTATTCATTGTCTCTCAAATAAGCAGGCAATGAATGATATTCCACCAATTGATACTTCACTTTCTGCCACAATCTCTTCCCTTTCACATTCTGTTTCTTCTCAATAGTTTCAGATGAATCTTGAGATTGTAATTGTTCCTTGTTCTTTGACTTACCACCCATTTTCCTCTACTTCAAAACCAAACCCAAAACAGATCATATCAATCAAAACAGATCTAACTCAAAAAGGAATCAAAGTTTCAAGTACGCTAAAATCTTGGATTCTTCTAGAAAAAATGAAAACTTTTCCCAAGAAAATCGGAACAGAGAGATTCAGCTAATTCATTACCTAAAGCTTCAAGCTTTAACGTGATTTTGTTCGAAATAAGCTTAAATCTGTAAAGGGATTTGAGCAAATTTTGAGACGGTAGAAGAAAATTACCTTAATTTCGAAGGAAAAATCAGATGGGTGTTCTTCGGATCTTAACCTCTGCAAAGAAAATTAAGAAATGGGTTTCATCGATTTCGTGAAGATATAGGAAAATTTAGCGAGAAAAGGTGAGAAATTTTGTACCTCGATTTTCAATGTCGACGAGAAAAAAAAAGCTCGAATCTTTTGAAATCTTTTGAATCACAGAGAGAGGTAGAGAGAGAAAATGAAAGTCAAAATCAAAATAGATCTTTAAAGCTTCGTTTTTTTTTTTTGTGTGTGTGTCAAAAACAGAGTTTTTTTCTTGTTTTGGTATGAAAATTAAACGAAAAGAAGACGATGGAAAGCTTTTGAAGCCACAAGCTTTTTATGATTTTAATAATTTTATATATATTTCAAATTAGGACAACAATTTTTTTTTTATAATTACTGTGGGACCCCTACAGTTCTCTTTTTATTTTCGTTTGGGCGAATAATTTGATATAGAGCAATTTTTAATTTTTTTTTTATTTTCTACAACATTTTTGTACGAGGAATATTGAGAAAAAAAAACATCAAATTCGATTAACAAACAACAATACAATAATGTTGTTTTTTTTTTCTACCATTAAATAATTTTATAACACTAATCAATAAAGATTGTTGTATAGAGTTTAGAAAATTGTATCGTTTTTTTTTTATGGTTTTTATACTTTTCACAAATTCGTGACCATGCACGTATAAGCTAAGTTGATGAATTTTTTAGAGTGAAATTAAATTATAACGATTTCATCGCAACATAAATTTAGTATGAATGAAAAGACCTATAGGTCGCAATCACCATGAATGTAATATATCTACCGTGAAGGAGTATATTTGTGGTGTCTCGTGGGAATATTATTTTTTACATGATTCGGATATCAAGGAGATATTCCTTCTTTTATTTTGCTTACTTTTTTTCCCAACTTTTGAGGCTTATCTCTTTACGTAATCTCAACTTTAAAATGAAAAACAAAATTGTGGCCTTTTTAATTGGAAAATTTCTGAAAAATTCTCAAACTTAATTTTATTGGCTGAAAAAATATCCAAACTTTTTTTTTTATCCGTTTGATATTCAGACTATTTAACGTCGGTTTTTCAATACACCAACTTTTAAAATGTTTTGGTTTTACTACATAACAATTAACGGGATTAATCCTGACTGACGGAAGTTTATAAACGCTGTTAACAGATCGAGAACCGTAAAACCCAAATCGAGAACCCTAACACCCAAATCTCTCTTTCTTCTTCTTCTATTTGATTCTATGATATCTATTTCTTCATCTTTTTTTTGATTCTCTTGTACAAGCTCGCTCTCTCTCTCTTTCAAGATGGAACGAAGTCAAAACTCAAGATTAGATGCGAATTCAATCAAAGAGG